CCTCCCTCTGCAGGAGAGGTGCTGCAGCCCTGTGATCATTTTTATAGCCCTCCTCTGGACTTGCTCCCACAGGTTAATGTCTTTCTGGTGCTGAGGACTCCAGAGCTGGACACAGTGCTGCAGGTGGGGTCTCACCAGAGCAGAGTCATTACCATGATGACAAGCCAAAGAAAGCCTCTATGCTCCATGAACTCCATGATTCCTCTTAAGGAAAGTTGTCTTCCAAGTCATTAAAGAATAATTCTCTTCTTCTAAATTCACAAAACATTACTCAACACTGCTAAGTCTCAGCGATTTTTTAAGATGAAGAAACAAGATTTTTGTACCTGCCTTGAGTGTCAAGGAGAGAAACCTCAAGGTTTGTATTCCCTATCTAAATATATTTGTCTCATATCACTATAAAATGATTGCTGTATTTCCCCCAGATGAAGTTGTCTTTGCAAAGTGGATAATTGTGCCTCAGAGTCTCTGAACTGTGTTGGTGTTCTTCAGGATATAAACTGTTACATAGAAAACTAAAAAATCATCTAGTTTCATGGTTTAGGTTTGATCATAAAGGAAAGGCAACTGCTTGCACAACATTTTGAGGAGGAAAAGTTATCAGCAGAGTTTAAAGACTTGAGAATTTGAAATTATTATAAGTGTCACTAAATAAGGTAATGGAGTCAAATCTCATGTGCGTCTAAACTGGTACAGGTCCATGGAGTTTAACAACACTGCGCTAATTACATCAGAAGAGAATTTGCACTCTAGATTCTTAAGGTCTTTCACAGGAAAAAAAAAAAAAAAAAAAGGCTTTGCACACAGACATTTATTCACAATTTAATATCCTTGGAAAGGCTTGTTTGTGTTTATATAAATGCAGAGACCGATGTAAGGTTATATCTGTGCAGTTGCCTGGCTCTGGCATGGCTACCAGCAATCTGTAGGTTTCATTTTGAACTCTGGCACCTCAGAATAAGCTGGAGAAGAACTAATAACTCTGCCTGGTGTCTCCAGGTCTAGAGACATCTGAAATGCTTTTATTGATAGACGATGAAATCTGTTTGTGTCTGAGGAGTATTGGGAGAGTTGAGGGGAGGATTCTGCTTCTGAAAAAATGTAACTATTGAACTACTTTTACTGAGGAAGGGAAAAAAGCAAGCAAACAGAACAACTCAATGTACTGTGTATTAAGCCTGAATTCACCTTAGGCCCTTTATCTACTTTTTTCATCCTGTTTTCTCTGCTTTATTCTCTCCTCCAGCCTATGAGGATTTGACAACACTGCTGCCCTTTAGCAATGCTTGCTCTACATGGGAGGTCAGCAAAATATTAGCTAGTTTAATGACACTCTCTGACTCCCCAGAAGAGCAGCATTCATCATCATCACTTAAGAAAACACCTTATCTCAAGTAGACAAGCTCAAGCAGGCTATTGCATCCACATCCATTACAAGGTTGCAACATCTACACTGAGGTTAGCAAGAGTCAACAGACATTTTACTACTACTTCAGAAAGAATTAATGTATTGAACCACAGTGCTAGCTAATTATCCATATCATTGACCCCAAGACCTTAATGGAAAATATTGTTCACCAATTGAACAGCAGCTCACACAGAATTAGTGTTGCATTGAATGTATTATATTTAAGGCCTGAAAGCACATACACGGTTAGAAAGAGGGAAAGGGGCCACTCTTGGTCTGCCTTACACCCTCACTCCTGATCTTCCTGCAAGTGCAACTCTCAGTGGAATTCCAGTTCGTTTCCGTGTGTTGCAACATTTTTGTCACGCAGTGATGTCCAAGCTGGCTTTGTCTTGAGATCCTAAGATTGTAGGTTCAGACTAGAAAGAACTTCATCTAGTTCAAACTTCTGCTGCCAGCAGGGCCAGCAATATGGTCAGACCAGGGCCCTCAGGACTTCAGTAGCTTTGAGTAGGAGAAGTAATGCAAAGCTAGCAGCACAAAGCTCCACCTCTTCACTGGATTGCTCCTTCTGACCACCAAGGACATTGAACTTCTCTGAGTACCATAGCTATCTCTGCTTCCCTAACTCCACCAGGTATAGCACTTGACTAGTTGTATGCATTTGCTGTTAATTGTATTTCTTGCTTATGCCCCATCACTTTGTCACCACACTTGTAACACTGAGGTTGTAAGTCCCAGAAGGGAGTTCTAAATGTATAATTATTTGTGGTTTCCCAGTTATCATCTATTTTCCAGCTTCTTTTCCATTAGAAATTTGCTTCCTCTTTGTTTACTAGTCAGTTGTCTTAAATATTCTTTTAGATCTCCATAGTGTCCAATGAAAAGGAATTAGGCTTCTGAGTATGTTTTCAGATTCAATCTTGCAATTATCTACTTCATATTTGTCACCACTCTGTCCAGGCTCTCTCTTTAGGACAGTTATTTGGCCTGAATAAATACCTTCAAGGTTTGAAGACTCAGTTCAGTGAAGTTTACAGAGGCTTTCATCTTTCTCAACACAAGGCCGCAGTGTGATTTTTAAATTCAGTGGCACAGTGTCTTCCTTGGACTCATACCAACACTTTTGCTCATGAGTTAGGAAAACTGCAGTAACCAGCTTTTTGGTATTTTGATTCTTCTCTTCCCTGCTGGACTCATAAGCTGGATTATAGGGTATAATGATATGGAAAATGTAAAGAAGATGTGAAGATCAATGTATAAGACTGAAAAGTGGAGATTCAAGGACTAAAGAGCATGTTTCAGATGGCTATATATCACTCACAAAGGATTTTTTGCCCTGACCTTAAGTTTTTGGCAGCACCTCAGTCATTGTGCAAAGTAATTTGAGGCAACTATCAAACTTTTAGATGTGCTCACAGTTTTCAAATCCTTAAAAATGGAATTCCTCTAAAATGAGCAAAACAACATCGTCTCACGGAAAAACTTCCATGAAGCAAGCACAGCCACAACAATGTTTTCGGAAACTGAGATTCCCTAAAGAAACACGCCATCATTTCAAAGCACCAATGCACAGATTTGCTCAGAATGCAACTGGTTGGCAAGAGCAAGAGCATCCTAGTTTTGAATCTTTAACCAAATATCAGTACAAAGATTGAGGCACAAAACCCAAGATACCACCCATGGTAAAGTAAGAATAACCTTGACTAAGCAAGAGATTGAACTAGATGACTTCCTCTGATCCCTTCCAACTTGTGATCCTATGAATCATGAACAAGAGGAGATTTTTTTCTAGGATATATTCCTACATATTGTATTGCCAGCTTTATTACTGTTAGTTTAAAACCAGGAATCTTCTGAAGAAATTAACAACGAAAAACCCTGAACAGCAGCAAAGAGGCTGCAAATTAAGTGTAATTTTTTAATATCTAGGCCAGAAAACACAAAGTTTTTAAAGCAAATAGAGCAAATCTATGTACATATTTTAGTGGATTATGTGTATAATACACGTGAGTGACTGTCCTATGCTGTGTTTTATTTGTTACACTAAATGCATCATATCTTACAGACCACAGAGAATTGTGCTGCTGTATTAATTACATTTTTAAGTGATTTCCTAATCTTTAGACCATTTTAATATCTGACTGTTGCAGAGAGAGTGTATCAGAATTTCACACAGCACTGATATTTGAAAGAATTTAAATAATAAGGAAAAGCTCTCAATTTTTTGTGTTCTTTCAGCCATTTATTTCTATTAGTATCAAAGTGGCTGTTTTACATTATGCAAACATTCATTGCAAAAGCAAGTTGGATAGTAGGTTAACTCTTAGAGAAGAAATATATGCTATGATAGCATTACTCAGTGTGGATATGTTACACTTAACACATTAACTTCAGTATAAATCATTCTTCATATGAAATAAAAGTGCTTTATTGCATTACAGTGAGATCCTTAAAACACAGTAGATGGATGTTGTAAGATGTATTCTGGGTGTTGCCAGTCAATTGCTGCTCTTTTTAAAGTAAAGGATGGAATTGTAGACAATGATATCTAGAAGAACATAAAAATCTGATGTATACCTTACAAAATCAATGGCTATTTAGAATGAAGCTTGAAAACTTGGTATAAAACACTATCTTTATCTCATCAAGCTAGGCCTATAACTTGTCCCATTGAGAGGATTTATGGAGGCAGCACTGCAGTATCTTTAAATGAATGTGAATTCCCTTGCTTCTTCAGGTCTAAAACACACAGTGGAACATTATGACCTGTTGAGATTTTTCTGAGCTGCAGCAAAAGTAATAACATCTTCACTTACAGGGATGTAGGAAATCAACCAGTCTTTTAAGATTCTCCTTGCTTGTGAATAATATAACCATAATATAAAAGTATGTTTAGCAAAACAAGGAATTAATTTGTTTTCAGAGCTTGTTGGAAATTTTCCATCCATGTTCTTTCAATAGAAATAAAAAAAAAAAAGAAAAAAGGTGTTAAGAAAATGAAGAGTTCTTCTGGAAATGTATTTTTTAATGAGAAACATTCTTTTCTGCCTTAAAAATTTGTAATGTACATTTGGACTAAAAAGCATATTTACTGTTCTTTTTTTTTTTCCCTCAAGAATTTCCTTCCTACATTACTAACTAATCCTTAAGTAGCAGTTTTCATCAGTAGCTTTCAAATCAGTACAAAGGAGAAAAATGTCATTGTTCCTCCTGAACCAAAGGCACAGCAAGAGGGAGGAAGGAGATGCTAAGTGGCTTGCATAAATCACCCAGCATGCCAGTGCAGCAAAACCCACCTCCCAAGCCCCAGGACAGTGTTCTACCTACTTTTGCACAACCAGCCAGCACTCCCTGTATGCTCCTTCTTTTGGCAAGAATCCCACTGAAATGCTCAGCCCGAAATACCTTTAAGTATGGCAGAATATGGATTTAACTTTCATATCTGAGTAGCTCATCTGTTGAAGAAGGAACTCAAATCTCAATTTCCAAAAAAATTCTTTCCTTCTACCTCAATTCAACAGCTTCTGAGTATTGGGAGTCAAACCACATGAATATTTGTGCCTTGAATGTTTATTGTTTTACTTTGTAGCTCAGCAAAGAAGAAGAGAGCAGGTGTGGAAGGCAGGGAAGAACAGTGGGACTCCTTCAAGACAGGAAAAAAATCCTCTCCGGCATGGGGAGACAAAGAAAGAATAAGTTGCTTTGCTACCAATGCCTACAGTGGAGGAGATAAACTACATTCCCACCAGCAGTTCTGTCTCTTTTTCCATGCACCTCATTTTTTGCATAAGAGAAAATTATACTTTGTCATGCTGTATTAAAGATAATTATCTCCCGCAGACTTTGTGGTTTTCTATGATTCTATAGCTAACCCAGTTACAATCCTTGATATTTGCACAGCGTCTGCCTCAAAACAGAAATTCTTTGTTTGTCCCTGAAGAATCATAGAATCACAGAATGGTTTGGTTTGGAAGGATCCTTAAGAACTATCTAGATCCAACCCCCCTGCCACAGGCAGGGACACCTCCCACTAGACCAGGCGGCTCAAAGTCCCATCCAACCTGGCTTTGAACACTTCTAGGGATAGGGTATCCACAACTTCTCTGGGAAACCTGTGCCAGTCTCTCACCACAGAGAAGAATTTCTTCCTAATATCTAATCTAAATCTCCCCTCTTTCAGTTTGAAACCATTACCATTCATTCTATCACTCCATGTCCTTGAAAAGTCCCTCCCCAGCTTTCCTGTAGCCCCTTCAGGTAATGAAAGGCCTCTATAAGGTCTCCTCAAAGCCTTCTCATCTCCAGGCTGAACAGCCCCTATTGTCTCAGCCTGTCTTATAGCAGAGGTGCTCCAGCCCTCTGATCATCTTCATAGCCTCCTTTGGACTCACTCAAACAGCTCCATGTTCTTCTTACGTTGGGAGCTCCAGAACTGGACACAGTACTCCAGGTGGGGTCTTATGAGAGTGGAGTAAAGGGGAAAAATCACTTCCCTTGACCTGCTGCATAAGCTTCTTGTGGTGCAGCTCAGGATACATACTTAGGATGGCTTTCTAGGCTAAGAATGCACAGTGTCAGGTCATGTCCAGCTTTTCATTCACTACTATGTTCTCAATGCCTTCAGCATCCAGCCTTTATCTGTGCTTGGAATTGCTCCAACCCAGATGCAGAACCTTGCACTTGACCTTGTTGAACCTCCTGAGGCTCACAGGGGCCCATCTCTCAAGCCTGTCAGGGTCCCTCTCTGGATGGCATCCTTTCCTTCCAGCATGTTGACCACACCACATAGCTTGGTGTCATCAGCAAACTTGCCAAGGGAGCACCCATTGCAACTGCCCATGTCGCCGACAAAGATGTTAAACAGCACCAGTCCCAGTACTGACCCTGAGGAGTGCCACTCATCACAGATCTCCACTTGGACATCAGGCCATTTGAATCAGACCATTCAGCCAGTTCCTCACCCACCAAGTGGTCCATCTGTGAAGTCCATGTCTCTCCAATTTAGAGACAAAGATGTAGTGCGCGGCAGTGTCAAATGCTTTCCACAAGTCCAGGAAGATAAGTTCAGCTGCTCTTCCCTTATTCACCAACTCTGTACCCCACCTACTCCTTCTGTGGGTGATTCTTCAACCTCCTAATCCCTGCCTTTGCCTTCTGTGACTTGGGCAGTGTGGACCAAGCACTTGCCAATGAAGGCTGAGGCAAAAAAGGACTCTTTATCAGTCCAGATGTTGACTTTGATTGCTGGTCACTCAGTCAGCCACAGCGTGGCCAAGTTCAAGGAGAACTATGGTTGACCCTTTGACTAGTTTGCATTCTTGAGAG